TTCAGCCCTCCGCTGCTAATTCAGCCTCCTGCAGCTGGGGAAGGCAGCTGGTGTTGATGCAAGCACTGGGGTCTCTGCTACCCCCTAGTGGCAAACTCAGGATGAATTCTGGGCTCATGCTTCAGCCTGGCACAGCACTGACGGTCAGTGTTATTTGTGGAGTAAACCAGTGAATGTAAGAGCTCTCTCTCATCCCTCACCCCCATTGTGCTTTGCGTATAATGGTAAATTAGTTGCTTGATCTAGAGATTTCAAGGAAAAATTGGCAAAACAGCTTACAAAGGAGCTCTACAAAAAGTATAATAACTATACTTACTAGGCAAATCTGCATAGATATAACAGATCATTTTCTCAGAGAGCAGAGCTGTTGATACCAAACTATATTTTAAGTATGCTAATTTCCATATTTATTTTGCAGATATAGATTCTGGATGATAAAATTAGTCAATGGGCTTAAATTTTTTTGTTTATATTCATGATCACATTAAGACCCTTGCCCATGAGTTAAATTTGAATATCATTTGCACTTATGCCTTTCCAATTAATTTCAGTTGCTTCTTAAATCTGTCAGTATGATGCTGGGATTTCCAGCATGTAGATAGATGGTCATGAGTTTCTCATAAAGATCCAGAATGAAGAATGACAATAGAAAATCTCAAATATGAAATGTATCTTTTTTTTTTTTAGAAACATCTACTTGTATAACATATATGTTTTGAAATTGAAGATGTAAGCCAAAAACCAAAAGGCATTTTGATTAATTTTGCATTATTTAAGCCAGTTTGTAAGAATAGGTATTTGAATGAATCAAAAATGAATCAAACCCAACAGAACTGAAATGCATTTAACGTTGAGATCCAAAAATAATGGAAACTTTATTTTAAAGAAAAGGAGGGGGATCTATGAAACAGTTTTAGTAAAAGAATTATTCTTCATGTCAGGAAGTCAATTGTAACCCACTAGAATCAAGCAAAAAAGTGTCAGAACTTTTGAGTATTTTCTCATTTGCATTTAAGTCAAAGGATGCTATGGGGTAGCCAAAGGCTTTGGGACAGTGTGGATTCAGTAAATAAAAAGAAGTGATGAAACTGAATAGTTTTATTTAACAGAGCATCAGTTGAAGAAAAACTGTGAAGAACCAGGTATTTTATCTGTACCTCTTCTCAAGGGCAAGCGGGGAGGCGGTTCATGAAGCAAGCCTGGATGTGCAGAAAGGAAACTTGAAAGGCCAGATCCCTTGGCACTGTGCTGTTTCGGTGGGACCCAGAGTGAAACGCAGATTAAACAAAGTCCATCAACATAAGAAGAAAAACCTTGTTAGTTCCCAGTTACATTTGGAATACAGGTTTTAACACCCTCCTACCCAACTCCGAAGAAAGAAGAAAATAGGGAGGCAGAGACTGTAAGAGCCCTTAGCGTGCATATGATCTTCTATTGTTGGTGACTCTAAATCAGCACTACAGATTAGCAATCTTTTCTGGCAGTAAGCAGACGTCTGTTTTAATAAAGGGAATGAATGCCTCTGTCCAATTAAGATAAGAGGGTCTCTGAAGAGACTTTATTTTATTTAAAGACAGAGTTACAGAGGAAGAATCAGGGAAGAAGGGAGAAGAGAGAGAGAAATTTAGAGAGAAGGGATAAAGTCAACCTGGTAGGTTTATGGCTTCTAGGGCAACAACACATGGTAGGGAGGTAAGTACGTAGGAGGTGCTGGCAGTTCAGTTGGTGTTACTCAGTTTGACTCCCAGTGCTGTGTCACCACTGATATTGTTGCTGTCCCGTGAGAAGTGGCTAAGACTGCAGGGTGGAGGGATACACCTTTGCAAGAATTCTTTTACTTTTTTTCAGAAAGTCCCAGGGAGGGCAGAGAGCTTATCCTGTTGCCCTGGTTTTCTCCCTTGCCTTCTCAGAAATAATCCTTACACCGGTGTGGCAGCATCAGCGAGACAGCCACTGACTCCTTGTTTCCATAAACCCCAACCTAGTGCTTCCGTCCCAGCAGTCCCTGTGTAAGCTGCTTCCCACACACAGCTTCTCATTATCTGAAACCGCTTGTTTCCAATTTATTGCATTCACAGGACCAGGTCCGTTTGCCTGACTTCACTTGAAATGTTCAGCAGTTACTGTTCGGTCTCACACTGTGGCCTGGTCCAGGAAGCCTTTCCTACTTCTTTGAAGATTGCTTTCGGGCTCCCTCGTGTTGTGTTTTTGAACTCTTTGTTGAAATATAAATATGAAATTTCTATTTAAAAGTCCACTTCCCCTGCCAGTCTGTAGTCTCAAGAGCAGACATTATTCCTTATTTTCATCAGAACTTGAGGATTCAGTGCAGTGCCTGAATGCCTGCCCTGCTGACGATGACAGATAATCACGGTGAGAGGCATGGTGCAGGGGGAGCCTCGGTGGGTTCCTGGAGCTGCTGTGACAAGGATCTCTGAGCTCACTAGGATTCTTCAGAGAGATAGGACCGACAGACTGGATAACTAGGCAGAGAGGATATTCGGTTCATTATTGTCCTGTAGAGAACATTAAAATATTATTTTTTCAGGGAATTCACTGTGTTCTGCTTTTCTGCATTCTGTTTGGAACCCCCTTCCTTTCTGTGTGGTTACATAGATGACTGTAAGACTTACTCAAGTTTGTCTCCTCGTTTCAGGGTTCATGATCCACTGCTGCCTAATGTGTTTGATTCAGCAGTTTAGCTGTTTATAGGAGAGTAAATCCAATCCGTTTTCTCTCTCCTAGCCAGAAACAGACATTATTTTTGTAAATTTTATTTAAAATGCTTTGCATGTACAAATAACTACGGTAAAATTAGTTAACATTTAAAAACAGTTGCATCTATCTCTAGGAATGTATCTTCCAGCAATAATCCAAGCAAATAGCTATGTCTCCACTTGCTGCTGATTTTAACAAATTGGCCGGCCCCTTTCCGTTTTTATTGTACTGTCTTATACCGTCACCGACGTTCTAAGCAAGGTTTCTTCCAAATGTTCTAGAAAATGCATATTACGTTTTGATTTCTGTGAACTTTTAAAATACTCTTTGTGGATGTGTATCTTCTATATTTTTTTATTTTTACAAATCTCATAATTTTTCCATAGTCTTTCCTTAATGTTTTATTAGGAAAGAATACGTTATTAGCTAAGCCTCAAAGAAAGTTTTTCAGCAGTACTGTCAGTTTCCATAAAACAAGGAGCAAGTAATGAGAAATCTGGACTCGAATTTTTATTTCATTTAGCAAGTAAAAACAGCCCATTGAGCTACTTCCGTTGGTCTCCAGCAGAGGACAGCTACAGCTAGGGGTTGCCAGTCATTGCGACTGCAAAGGAAGCGTTCAGAATGACAACTAGTCCTCTATGCTACAAGTAAAACATCTGGTTTTATTTATCTGTGTAACAGGTAAATTTATCCTGATAGATAATTTGTTCCTAAGGACATTTTTTGTATTTGCATGGAATTTATGGGGGAGAAGATATAAAGCCATTTTTTCATTATTTATAAGAATTATTAAGAATCTGTGTAACCATACATTTTCATGTTATTCCTGAAAAGCTATCCTAATTAAGCAGTCTGTTATATGTTGCCTTCCTTATAAATGAGATATTTGGGGCCAGTGTGGTAGCCTAGTGGCTAAAGTCCCCTTGCATGTGCCAGGGTCCCATATGGATGCTGGTTCTAATCCCAGCAGCCCCACTTCCCATCTAGCTCTCTTTTGTGGCCTGGGAAAGCAGTGGAGAACAGCCCAAAGCCTGGAGACCATGTACCCGCATGGGAGACCTGGAAGAAGCTCTTGGCTCCTAGCTTCAGATTGGCTCAGCTGTGACTGTTGTGGCCAATTGGAGAGTGAATCATCGGATGGAAGAGTCTTCTCTCTGTCTCTCCTTCTCTCTGTGAAGCTGACATTCCAATATAAATAAATAAATCTTTATAAATGACTTGTCCTTCTCCACTGGCAGAATGTATACAGTTAGTCCTCTGATAGCGCCTACCATGGCCTCCTCTGTCGCTGCCACAGCAGTTACACGAATGAGTAGCCTGCTTTCTTTGGTTTAAAATGATACAGACCTCAGCCCTTCTTCACGATGATCTAGCTAGATTGCCTTGGTTGTATGAAGCCAGATGTCTGATAGACAGTTCACTACTCTTCTTCTAAGCTTTCTTTCAACCAAAAATGAAAAGTCTCGATTATGGTGTTTTTTTTTTCTTTGTTTGTTTTGTTGTTGTTTTTTTACTTCTTGTAGTCTCTTTAACTCACAAAAATTGGTTACCTGCTACTCCCAAATGAATCCTTATCTTCGCCGGATTTCTTTATGTTTAAAGTAAAAGATAACTAGAATGAAAATGGCAGGAAGTGCTAAAGTTTTGCCCTGACATTGTGTGCTCTGGCAGAGGGAGCATATAGTGGTGACGGTTCTTGCCAGTACTTGCTTGAGGACTAGAGAATACAAATGTTCTTTTACCTCATGTATTTTCATTCAAGTAATTACCAAAGTTATTTAAAAAATACATATGCTGAGTGTAGCCTTTCTTTCACAAGGTAAATATTGCCCTTTTCTTATTTTCCTGATGCTAAAGTCTATCCAGAGAGCTTTGTCAAAAATGTTGGCATCATTTATGTTAATTACTACTATTTTATGGGAGAAACTGAATTAGAGGTGTTCTGGCAGAAGCTGTTGTTCACTTTGTTTCAAGTTATTTGCAATTTTATTTCAGATTTTGGTCTTTTCTTTTGCAGTCCTTATGTCATATACATTTTTTAGCTTTCAAAAGTTTTCTACTATTCTAACATTATTTTCAACTAAAATTTAATCCTCAAAATAAGGATTTTAAACTGAAAAGTCATAGTTAAAAACCTGCTAGCATTGGCATATCGGTGTTAGATTCTGTTGGTGTATTAAGGAGTAGTAAAGAAATGAAAGGAAAAGAGGAAACTTTTTCTCGTATTGCCTTTCTGGAAGCCTTCTGTCTGTAACTGAAAAGTGCTTACTCTTTTCCAGGAGTCCAATGTGCTGATTGCTGCTAACAGTCAGGGTACAATTAAGGTAAGCTGTTTTACACGTCTCCACTTTAAACTCACATCATCTTTAGACTGCAGTGCAACTGTGAAAATACACAACTGTACTGAGCTTTAGGAAATTCCAAACTGTGGGTCTTATCTCCTTGGACATGGCTCAGTTGAGAGGGGAAAGGAATAGGTAGTTTGCAATTATGGAGAAGATGATACTCGTTGAGGTTGTATGCATGAAAAATTAAAACAGAATAGATTGCATGAATACTAGGTGGATTCATGGACTAGAAAACAGATGAAGACCATTGAGCAATCCCCACGGACAGGGAACTGGTCGATCTGCCACTTGGCAGATTTTTACCACAGCTTTCTTCAACACATCCCAAGTGGGAAATGATCCAGCAGCCAAAGAAGGAAATTGAAGCCTCAAATGCCCTCCATAAATGTGATAAGCCAAGGAGAACCACACTGTTAGCTAGACAAACAGTCTCCTTTTAAGATAGCTGGTGTTTCTGTTTAGGAACTTCTTTGGGAAATCATGGACAGCTTAAATTCAAACCAGGCTCTTGAACCAACTAGCATTTGTTATGTTTGGGAAGCTTCAGGTAAGATGACAGCAGATTTGGATTCTGATTTAAGTGGTTCTCTAAAGTCAGTCTTATTCTCTAAGGAAGACATGAATTGAAAAAGATGCACTGCATTCTTCAGCAAATTGGGACTTTAGGGCAATTGGGATTGCTAACCTACCTCCAGAAGCTCAGAATTACATAGGTAACTTGTGGAGTATCGTTGGCAGATCTTAAGACTGTTCGCATCAGTGACCTCTTATTTTAAGAAACCTACTTGCCTAATACACACACACACACACACACACTTACATAAGCACAGTTAAATTCAATCCTTAGTAGAGGGAACGGTTGCATCTTTGCCACCTAGAATTGCAGTTTCCATTTAACAAAATCTTTTTTTTTTTTTTTTTTTGGCACCATCTCATGCTTATTCTCAGTTGTGTCCTTAGCCATGTGCTTCCTCTTATTTTTGGTGTTAGCAACATCACAAGTTTTGTGCAAAAAAAAAAAAAAAAAAAGAACCCCTATGGAATATCTTGACAGCAGGTGATGGACTAGAAAATTAATGAAGTAGTAGGGAAAGAGAAAAACTTAAATTCTGTGCCATGATCAGTAGAAACAGTGCTTATGAAGGGAAGAAGGAAATGGATTCAAAAGGTACACCACCTAAAATGTTCTTAAGAACGTACAAGATTACCAAAATATTTGAGAAAAATATGATATCCACACTGTGCATTAGGTAGTTCACTCACCCATGTTTCATGTTGCTTATCTTGAAGACTCTCACAGTAGAAGTAACAAAGCTGAATTTTATAAAATAGTTGAGAAATGTGTTTTGATTTGGTTCTTCATTAATAAATATAGTAAAGATTATTAACCTCTTTCTATATTTTGAAACAATTTTATTAAATTGATTCCCCCTTTTTTCCCAATTAGGTGCTAGAGTTGGTATGAAAGGTTTACTGAAGTCAAATTGTGCTTGATCCTGCCGAAATGCGTCTGCAGCAGACAGTAAGAGAAGAAACGGAAACTGTCATGTGATTGCTCCCCAAAGTCATCATGGGTTTTAAATTTTTTAATAATTTTTTTCTTTTCCTTTTTTCCCTCCTTTTTGACCTTTGGGACATGGGAAATCCCCAGCAAAATCCCCACCATCAACGTAACTCGATGGACTTCGCTGCTGCTGGTGGTGTGGTCATTGATTTTTGTGATAGGGAAACAAATTCTTTTGAATAAAAATAAGTAACAAAAATAATAAAATTTTATTGAGCCACAAGTAGGCCGGGAAAGTTTTTGTCAAGTCAAGATGTGGTGTCAAGTCAAGATGTGGTACATGTAAATTGTGGAGTAATATGCCCGTGGGTAAATTGTGAGGTCCACATTTCCCTACCTCTTTGGAGTTCTGCAGATTGACATAAACTAGGATCAAATGCATGGGTTCCCTCTGCTGAGTTTAATGTTCACAGTAGTTAGAAACATAATGAATTCCTTTCTCCAGTCTGATCTGATTTATATCAACAAGTACCGTACTCCTCAGTTCAGACCACATTCAACCAGGAAGGAAATGTCTCCAGGTTCTGTTTTTGCCTTTGAAATGTCACATATAAAAAGAGTCTTAAAAATGTCCTAGAGAAAAAAAGTTATTAGAAAAAAGCTATGCATGGGTTTTTAAGTTTTTGTGCTAAACTTTTAATTCCATTTTCACATGAACTCTTTGAAGTAGATCAAACACTTATTTTATAAAAATCATAGCTATGAATGTTGATGGGCAGAGTCCAGTTAAGTCTGAGCAGCAGTGGGGCATGGAGGGCTGGGGGTACCCATGCCGGCCCAGACTTCTACTGGGGATCCTTGCTCCCCATGCAATGCTGCTAGGCAGCGGAAGGGTCCTGCGCTTATGGGTGGCCAGAGTGCCAACCAGTGCCAGACTGTGCCCGCTGACCACCTGGCAGTGAGCTCAGGGATCTTGGGAGTATGGAATTACTGCCTAGGGACATCCATGGATAAGGCATAGTACGTGGAGATGAGGAATTAATCCTGAGGGACACCCAACGACAGGGCCACTGTACTTGCAGGTAATTAAGGGGTCTGAGACCTGGTGGTTTGGAGGGAAGAGACCTAAAGATATTTTTGGATCAAACTGATGCACCAGCCCACTTGCAAGTCCTGGGTTGAGCTTCTTAGCATGCAACATGGCTGACTACCACATGCCAGCGCACATGCAAGCTGTGGCTGGGGCCTGTCTAACAGGGCTAGATCCCAGTACCTCATAATGTTGGATCACGGGATGGGTCACATTAAACTGGGCCGTGAAACCTATCAGCTCACAAGAGAACCAGGTCCAGCAGTGGATTCTGTGGGGGATATGTGGGCCCAACCCTATGGAAATACAAGTCCCGCTGGTTAGCTTAAGAGTTGGGATGGTGATGGGCTAAGCCAGGCATCACCATGGAAGTCACCGATGCTCACAGGTACTGGGGCTGAGAACAATTAGGACAAGTCCAGGCTGCAGCACCTGCATGAGCACCCTAAAATGGTGTGGGGCATGCCAGGCTGCGCCAGCTCATATAAAAGCCAAGACGGATGGGGCAGGCCATGTTGGGCAAGGGCCAAGTGCCTGCTGATGTGCATGAGATCTGGGTCTAGAAGTGGCCCAAGCGGGGGAACCTGGGAAACTCCTGTAGTGTTTCATAGCTCCCACTGATGAGCATGTGGTCCAGGCCTGGGTGGTTGGGCAGGCTGGGCAAATAACTCCATCCATCGGCAAGTATATGAATTGGTTTTGGAAGAGGGTGGACCAGGCAGGACCGAGCAAACCATAGCTCACTGGCAAGTGCAGAAAACAGGATGGAGTGCAGGTCAGGCCAGGCTAGGCTGCCATGCCTACTGGTTTGCATGAGTCAGGGATGAGAGCAGACTGAGCAGAGCCAGGTCACAGCATCTGCCAGCAAGAGTTGGGACTAGGGGCTATATTGCCAGGCTAGACTGCAGCATCCAAAGGCAAAGGCGAAGACAGGGGAGGGGCTATGCCAAGTTGGGTCAGAGCAACCATTGGCACACAAGATCAGTGGCTAGGATCAGGCCTAGGGAGCTAAGGAGATGTCCTGGCTGGGTTTTCATTCCGCTGATGAGCATGGTTGCCAGAGTCGGGGCGAGGGGATGCGGCCTGACTGAATATGGATGCAGTCTCCTTCAGCATGGTTGTGGATTGGGTCTGGGGCTTGCAAGATTGGGCTGGCCTCCAGCACCCGTTGGACTTAATGAGAACCAGGTTGGGTATAGGAATGGTTGGACTGGGTCTCTGTTCCTGCTGAGCCATGTGTGAGAATGTGTCTGGGTGCGGACCAGGCTAGGCTGGGCTGTAGCACCCAACAATAAGAACTGGAATGAGTGAGGGCTGGTCAAGAAAGGCCAATATTCTAACTAGGACAGGAGGTGGATTAAGTAGGGCTAGCCCATAGATCCACTGGTGTGAGTGAAATCTGGCATTGGGAGAGGTTCTGATTGACGAGCTTGGGAAACTGTCATTACACAGTCCCTGCAGGTGAGTGCAAGAACCAAAAAGGAGCAGCCCAGACCAGGTCAGGGAATGGTACCAGGGCCTTGGCTCAGGTCTGGGGTGAGCCAGACTGGACCAATTCATATTACCTGCTGGCAAACAGAGCCAAAATGGTGTGTGGGTCATGCCGGGTTGGGCCACAATACCAGCCAGTTCATGCTAGGGCCAGGACTGGGAACTGGCTGGCCTGGGCTGGGCTGTATTCTCCAACCCCAGGGTGAGCTGGAACTGGAGTGGGATGGGCTGGGCCAGGCCACAGCACCTACCAGCAAATGCCAGGGTGAGGCAGGTCATACATACCAGACTAGGCCAAAGCACCCAATGAGCACACATGAGACCCGGGGGAGAGTGGGTAAACCCTGTAGGGGGGCTGCAGGGAGATCCCCTGCTGGGTCATTATTCCCACTGGTGAGCGTGAGAGCTGGGAATGTGGACAGACCAGGCTGGTCAGGGCTACAACACCTGTTGGTCTGCATGTAAGCTGGATCAGGGTCAAGCCAGGCTGGGCAGACTGTACCTATTGGTACATGCATAAGCCAAGTGGCGGGGTGGTGAGGGTTGATTGGGCTTTGCTGTATGTAGCATCAGCTGGCAGATGCTGGCATGGGCAGAAAGCTCTGTTGAGCTGAACTGCAGTACCTCCTGGAGAGTGCAAGATTCAGGAGTGGGAGGCAATGGGTACTTCCTTCTTGGGTTGCCATTCCAGCTGGTGAGAATGAGAAGCAGGACTGGGACAGGAATGGCTAGACAGAGTAGCACCCACCACCAGCACATGTGTGTACTGGATAGTGGTGCTGGTTGGGTTGAATTATTCTTCAAGGCCCATTGACACATATGAAAGCTAAATGGGATGTGGGACAGAGAGTACTGGCAAGCACGTGAACCAGGGCAGGAGGCAGTCCTGGTGGGGGTTATTGTGGATAACTCCAGCTAGGTTATATTAACTCCCACTGGTTTGTGTAGGGACTAAGTGTGTGGTGGGCAGGATCAGGCTGGACTGCAACACCCACTAGTTTGTGTAGAAGACAGGGCTGGAGACAACTGACTGCAAATGCAACTAGCAGTGTGTGCGTAGGCCGATTTGGACGACAGACTGTGCCAGACCTTATGTTGGCAAGCACACACAAGAATCGGGTCTGGATCACCTCAGATGAAGTTTCTTTTGGAATTCCCCCAACTGAACCACTGGACTCAGAACTCCAACCATGGAGGAATTTGCAGGTTCCATGGTCTAACTGTGTCAGAGCTGGGCTTCTCAGTGGCTTATGTGGAGCAGTGGACAGCATATTCAGATGCAAATGGAGAATTTGGCAGTACACTGGAGCCTGCAGAGGATTCCTTGTACCATAACAGAGGATGGAGGACAGAACAGGTCGATCAACTACTCCAGCCAAGTGTTGGCAGTGAATAGCTGGGCAACGGAGACTCTAAAATGGACTATGTCAGCTGGTGGATTCTTGAGAGATTTCATGATTGGAGTGGCAAGATTGGCAGCAATACAGAACTATTGAACTATCAAAACCACTTGAGCAGGATGCTCAGAACATGCCCCACATTGGGGACCGTGGATGGTTGGGAGGCTGGGTGTGGCTTCTCTTCTTGTCTCTTCCCTCCCCCCATATACAGGAAGGAAGAAGGTATGTCAAACCAGTGGTCACACCCACCTTCCTCTAGCACTTGACCCTTTGCACCCTAATCAAATATGTAAAAAGTATCAAGAATAAAACTGATACAATAAAAAATCATTGCTATGAAGGATCATAATTATTAGCACCATTCTTGGGTGAACAATAACTTAGAACAGCGGTTCGTAAACTCCATAAAGATTCAGATTAACGCATATTTTAGGCTTTGCAGCCTCATGGTCTCTGTCAGCTAGTCCATTTTTCCATTGTAATGGGAAAGCAGTCACACACCAATACCTGAACAAAAGGGCATAGCTGATATAGAGGAAGTAGATCAGATTTGGTGTGCAGAGCATAGACTGCCAGCGCCTGATCTAAAGGAATAAACAGGTTTCAAGCTACTCAAATTTCAAACTACATAATCTGTTAGGTTATCTCGTTAGCTTTGCTAATTGTTTTTTTCAAATTGCAAAAGGAAGTTAAAACAGCAAGTTTTGCAGAAGTATTATGATTATGAAGTTTATAGAAATATGAACGCTTGAAGCTAACATTTGGCACGATGTCTTGAACTCGAGATGCTTACCTACCATTTCATTGTGCCAGGGTTCAAATCAGGCCCACTTGTAGTTCCAGCTGCCAGCCAGTGCCCACCCCACAAGGCAGCAAATAGTGGTATACACACTTTGTTCCTTGTCAACCACTTGAAGGACCCAGATGGAGATCAGGAACCTTCATCTGGCCTTTCCCAAGCCATGACTAGTGTAGACATTTACTAAGTGAGCTGGCATCTGTCCATGTCTCTCTGTCTTTCAAATAAATCTTCAAACATATTTTTAAAACATCTGGATACTTTGTAGCAAAAGATATGAACAACCCCATGCTAGAAAGGTAAACACTAGAAAAGCCTTGGTTGGTAAAGATATACATGCTGAAGGTAAAACACACAGTCCTAGCAAATCCCTCTGTTCAGAATTACTGAAACCCACCACAGGCTCTCGTTTTTGTTGTTTGAAGCCAAATAAAGTTTGGAACTATTTGCACATTGGTAAAATAATGGGCTTTTTGCCACTGATATTATTTACCAACCCCTGC